AGCATTATTTGCTTTAATTGATTCAAAAACTCCAGGGACCAGGACCTGGACACTATGAGCCCAGCCCCTCCATTCCTATACAGTGCCTCCAGCTCTGTTTCCTCAATGATCCCTTTCTCCAGAAAAGCTTGAGGACTCTCCTTCTTCCCTTGGAAGAATGGGAGGCTGTGGGAGTCCAGGAAACAACCAAATCCGAGAAATATTCATTTTTAAAAAAGATTTTAGTAGAGTACATTCATGCTTTCTTTACAAGGCAAATAACATTCTCTTCCCTTCCCTGCCCCTAACAGAGACAGTGAGATAGCAATGTGGGAAGAGGAGGGAATAGGAAAAGGCTTCCAGTCTTTGGGAAAGATCACTTAAGGTGCAAGTCCAAGGAAGGAAAGATATTACATTTACAGCACTAACCTCCCCCCCTGAAATCAGCAGCTCAGTCTTGGGGAATGCATGCCCAGGCTGCAACACACAGCAGTGAGATAGATGTGAAAGAGCACTTTGGGGCTTCTGGCCTCCCTCCATAGCTGTGTGGCCCTGGTTCCCTTTTTGCCCAGTGTTTACAGACAGCCTCTTAAGTCCACTTGCCTTCCCTCTCGGGGCATCTATATTCTTCTATTTACTCCACCCCAAGCCCCACAACAGGAGAGTCTAAAATTCATTCCTACCCACTCAACCTTCAAGCCCTATCTGTATCTCTAGCCATAGGCAGAGCAAGAAACAAGGTACTTAGCAATCTTTTAACTCTCAAATCTCAGGTCAACACATGGGGATGGGGGATTCTTCCCTAGGACAAAGAGACTTTCCCTGGAATATTTGCCATTGTGCTAGTTAAAAAAAATAAATCCCTACTAAGAAAGAATTCCCTGAAGACACAGGGAGTGGAAATAATGACCACTGAAATGATATTCCATTTTTAGCCCCTGGGGAAATTTTTTAAATTTATTTATTAATGAAGAGACCAACGTGAGTCTGAACTTTTTAAGTGCTGTTATCTTACTAAGGAGAGAGGCACAAAACCAGCACATGCCAATGGTGGGAAACTAGGCCTCAAAGCAAAAATAAAAAGTCGATCTGGGAGAAGATTTTTAATAGTGGGTCAGAGGGACTGGAGGGGTGATGAGGCGATCAATCTTAGCCCCTGACAGCTCCCTCAGATTGCATCAAAGAATTTGGCTCTTTGGGAAAGCAAGAGGGAACACCTAAATTCCACATCCCTTAAAAAAGGCCTGAGGGAGGGGGTGGCAAAAGAGAAGGTGATTCTGGAAGAGCAGGAAACAGATGGGAAAGGGACAGAGGGAAGGCGCTAAGTTGAGTGGAAAGTTTGCCGAGAACTCCCACGGCTCTGGCCTCTCCCCTCCTTGCTCTCTGCGCTCAGCCTGCAGGAGCAGGCTGATAAGCAAGAAATGGCAACTCAAGCCGGTAGCTGGAACTAGAAACTTTCTGTCATTGTAACATCCGCGTGGTGGTGGTGAGTATTTAAAAAGAAGGGCAGAGAAGTCTGAGTGGAAGGGTGGGGGCAGAGGGGAGACAGAGGAGCTGGAGGTTGGGGCTGAGGGACAGGCTCCAGAGGACTCAGAACAGAGAGCTGCTCTGAACTCAGCCAACTGGCCAGAGGGTGGTTTGCAACTCAGCTCCAAAGAAAACCATTTTTGCCATTTGGAGGTGGAGTGGGCAAGGAGAATCCACATAGTAGCTGTAGCTGGAAGTTGTTCAGGAGGCCTAGGAGAGAGTGCTCTCTGCATTTTCTGACAGTCACTCCAGCTGGCTGCAGGACCCAGAGCTCCTCTAGGCAATTCGAGCAGGGACTGTCCCTGCAGAAAATACAACTCCCTAACCCTCGCTGACAGATTTTATGGCCAGATTAGTGAACAGTGGAAACTTGGGTGTTAAAAAAGGGCCAAGAGAGCCTCCTTTCCAGAGACAGCTCTTCCACCCCCCCCCACCCCCGCAATTCTGCTAGGAATCATTATGGCACAGATATTTTACCCTTATCTTTAGCTGAGTGCGGGAAATCTTGAAGACAGAAGGAAAGGGAGCACCAAACTGGTCTGATTTTTCTTGTTTGGAGTCGGAGCCTCAAGCCAAAACTCCGCTTTTCATACTGTAGCTAAAATTTCTCTCTTGGCCTGCCTCCCTTGCTCTAGATAAATAAGCAACCTACCCCACCCCCAGAGCCAAACATGGCCCTTCATCTAGTTACATCATTCAGAAAATGTTATTCAGGTAAGAGGAGGAGAAAAGAAAGACCTTTGAGCATTATTTGATCCCAATCAAACTTTGCATGCTGTTCTGCCTTTAAAAATGATAGCCTGGCCCAATGCTAAATTGCTTGCTGCCTGGGTGAGCTGAGTCCAGTTAAAATTCTACTTGGTTTGTGGGCGGGGGAGGAGGTGAGAATTCAGGTTGCTTTTTATTGTTATTTATTGTTGCATAAGGACTGTAATTACTAACCTTGGACTGCCAGGATGCAACATAAAAATGAAATCAGCCTCGCTTTAAGGCTGAGGGTCTGGAACGATTCTCACCCTCCCCCACCCCCACATACACCACTGCCGCCAAATATATGCTCCTAATTAAGCAGTGCGGGTGCATCGCTTACAATTAGAATCGTGCGACTCTTCTGCAAGCAGCCATCGCTTCTTTCAAAGAATTAGCTCCATATTTCAGCCGCCCATCTCCTCGTTCTTATCGGCTCCAGCGACTCAGAGGTGACATTTCATCTTTGACAGACCCTCTCTATCCCTCGTTCCAGTGTGATAAAACTCTTATGGAACCACGACTAAGAAATGAAGTTTTCCCAAGGATCGTGGAAATGGAGCTGCACATTAGCCTGGGACCATTTTATTTACACTTGCATCCAGCAGCTTCTACCACCCTCTTCTCCCCTCGGGCAGGGGAATAAGACTCGCCTCCTCTCTCTCTCTCTCTCTCTGCCTGAAGTTTTATTTAATGATTTAATTTCACTTTAGTTTAAGGTTTGACCTGAGAAGTCTAGGCCTCAGATTTTTTTTTTTTTAGATTAATCATTTTCCTTTGTTTTCATTTTAGACCCAATGGTGGTTGGGCTTCGGGTCACGTGACGACTTCTTTGTCGCTCCGGAAGAGGACAGTGAAGTTTAGGTTGCATGGAAGAAGCAGTAATCTGCCAGATTTTTTGCTTGTTTTGTTTTGGGCTTTGTGTGTGGTGGAGTGGGTGTGAGGGGGCATGCACAGAGGTTGTGGCCAAAGGCAGGAGCAGACAAAAAGAAAAAGTCAATGAATGAGAAAAACCTAGAGGCGAGGCTAAACAGAAAGAATACAGAAAGCACCCAAAAGTTCCCTTTCTTCCCCCAACTTGTTACTGAAACCTTAAAGAAGTTGGCAGAATGTTCCAGGCTCCTATGAGTGAGGAAAAAGAATATTTAGCCTGGAAAAAAAGGGGTGGGCAGGAGAGACTGGGGCCTGAGCAGAGGACAAAAAGGCCAGGAAAGGGTCTTCCATGTCCTCCTTCCCTTGGGGGAAATTTGGCAGTCAGCAGGCTTGCTCTGCTATCTAAATTGGACCACCAGGACAAGATAAAATTGATAACAGAAAGTTTATTCAAGAATTGTTTGACAGACAACCCTTTTTAAGTAAGGGGGGAAAAAGTAACTACTGAAGAACAAAGAAATTTCCAAGAGGGAATTAATCTAACTCTACAAATTCAAGACTATACAGTGACGATTAGGAGCTGAGTTCATGCCTTTTAGAACTAATTACAATTGCTCATAAGTACGAGTTTAACAAAAATCTACAGCTCTTCTCTAGAGTACAATTAAAACTAAAATAGCTGATTTTACATGACAAACACAATGTCCTTTATAACAAGTAAATACTAAAAAAAGTACAATTTTTCCTTTTCCTCATATAAATACATAATGTAGGGGATAAATAATACAAAAAAGAAAATCTCTTAACAGGCTATAACCAATAAATATATATGAAAATGTTCACTAGAACACACGCTTTTTGAGCAATGCTGGACTTCTGCAGGCCCAGGCATCTCTCACAGTTGTTTTTATATCCATTAAAATGTAAACTCTAAGTGCAACAAAAGTGTCCTGTCAGGAGGTTGAGCAAGGCACACAGGCCCAGCTGCAGCCCCTGCCTGGGACAGTCAGTTTGTTCAAATATACCCTGTTTTCACGTTAAGTCAAGAGAGCAACAGAAGAAAAGAAAAGTGGAGAACCTCACGTGGTGGATTGCTTTCTGTGTGGAGAGAGGGGGATGGACCTGGAGCTGAGATGAGAGGCTGCAGAACAGGCAAACCTTCAGTCCTGACAACTGCCTGCCTTGGCCTCCTAACTTTCCTTAAAAGAAATATATATATATTTATACTATAGGCAGCTCTGACTTTCAGGATCTCTCACCATCCCTGAGCCCTCTGAAAACTATAATTGATGGGGGCGGGGTATAGATATGAATGTCTTAGAGCAGAAATGGAGGGCATGCCCTAAGAAACCTCAAGTAGATGGGAGCAAATTTGAGTCTCCAGGGAAGTGGGAGGGGAACGTGCTTTGTGCCCTTGGGTTTAAATGTGTTTTCTTATTTTCTTAAGGAGAATGAGAGGGGGGAAAATAATCAAGAATTGGGGGAGTTAACCACAGAGATGGAAGGTAAGTCAGTTGGTTGATGATGGCCTAGCCATCTTGTCTTTTTTTTTTCAATGTGCTTCTTTTCCTATCTCGGCTTCCTTTACACCCCCCCTCCCTCTCAGCGTGGAATTCCAGCTGGTGGTGCTGGAGCCCCGGGATTGATGGAGGTCATGCTCAGTCCGCTGTGGATTCCTTTCCGATGGGTTGGCAGGCAGAAGGAACAGGGGTGGAGGACTTAAAAACAACCCCTCAAGCCAGGGAGAAGGGAAGCAGTTCCAGGCCCGTTCTGCCTCCCTCCTCCTCCCCCCAGCTTTCAGACCTCCTGACCCGCCCTGCCCCCCAGAACTCTACAGCCTTCCTCGCCCTTGACCTGGCCCCTATGTCCCCCCGTCACAGGTGTGTTAATTTGGGCGCTTCTTGGATTCTACCCTGAGGAGGAGGCGCATGGTGCGAGGAGAGGTCTGTGTAGGTGGGGTGGGGGTCGCAAGGTCCGTGATGCTGGTTGGGGGGCATAGGGGGCGCCCCGTTGTAGTCCAGGTTCCCAGAGGGGTGGTGGGAAAGGTGGTTGAGGCCGTAGAGGGAGGGGCCGGCAGGGGGCGGCAGCGGATCCGCATAGCCGCCCCCGCCCACGTACACAGGGCTGCCCTGCATGGTGGGCGTCCCGTAGGCGCCCCCGTTGGCTTGGAGGACGTGGGGCTCGTAATCCGGCGCGGGTGTTGGGGGATACTTTTGCGGGGCACCGCAGCCCTTGAGAGGGGGCTGGTAGTTGGAGGGCAGCGCGTAGGCATTCTGGTGGGCTTTGCCGAAGTGGGCGGGGATGGACTCTCGTAGCTGGGGGTCATGGAATGTAAGGCGTTCATGAAGCCGGCCGTGGACTGCATGGGCTGCGGGGGGCTGCCGGCAGGAGAGGGGCCCCCGGACGACGAGGCCAGCCCCTTGGCCTTCTGGTCCTTCTTGTACTTCATGCGCCGGTTCTGGAACCAGATCTTGATCTGCCGCTCGCTGAGGTTCAGCAGGTTGGCCATCTCCACGCGGCGTGGCCGGCACAGGTAGCGGTTGAAGTGGAACTCCTTTTCCAGCTCCACCAGCTGCGCGCTCGTGTACGCCGTCCGCGCCCGCTTGGACGCCGCCGACCCCGGGGGGCTCTTGTCCCCTCCCCCGCCGCCGCCGCCGCCACCCCCGCCGCCGCCGCCACTGCCACCGCCGCCGCCGCCGCAGCCCTCTGCTGGATCCGAGGGGGAGGGGTGGGAAGGGGAGAAAATGAAATAAAAGATAATTACTGAACACGCCGAAATTGAATGTATCGTTTCTTAATAAATCCAGGCCTGGACTCTGAGCCCTCGCCACCCTCCCCTTCGCGTCCCCCGCCTCCTCCTCACTCCCCCCCCACACTCCCCACCGCCCCGTCGCATTAGCGGACACTCTATAATAGTGGCATTTATTAAGAGACCTGTTCTCCTCTCACTGCCCCAGCTTATGAAAATTTGATCATGTCACGCAGACAGAGCTGCATGGCCATTTATTTAGGGCTGGATTTTTACGTGCGTGCTTTCTCCTCCTTATTCCCAATTCCAGGTCTTGGAAGGCATTCCTACCCCTGTCCTATGGACAGGATGGGTGACTGAGGAGAACACGTGGGGGAAGCTGGATAGGCCTTCGTGGGCAGGGCCCCAAAGTGTGGCTCGAAGAGACTGCCATGCCTGGAGGCCGGGACCCGGGGTAGCCAGAGCGATTGTGATTAATACCCACAGTAATCAAACTTAATAATAATCCTTGACGACTCTTGGGTCTTCCTGGTGGTGCCTCTCGGCTTTGTAGCCTTGGGTAAGGCTCCGAGGCCTAGCGCCCCACTTCCTGGAGCTCTTGGAAGCCCAGGTGGAGGATGGCTTGGAGGGACTGGATGTTGGCGGGGTCAGGGGTCATCAGGTAGTGAGAAGTACGAAAAATGTGCTGCCGCCACCTAACATTGTTCCCAGGCCGCCTGGTGGGCGCCTAGGGACTGGGTGCTAGAATAGCAGTGTCATTCCTGGACTGGACAAAAGCTCACTAGGAGGAAGGCAGAGAGCTGGTACCTGTGCCGGGGGAGCTGTTTTTCAGCTTGGACGTTTGCCTCGACTCTTTCATCCAGGGGAATATCTGTTTGCTGAGGGTGGAGTTGGACCCGGGACCGCACTTGGGGGGGCCGCTTTTGCTGGGCCCGCCCCCATTATTGCTGTTGCTAGTGGTACTGGTAGGTGCGGCACTGGGCGGGGGTGAGCCCGGTGGCGCGGGCAGGGGCTCGGGGGCCAGGCCGGGCCTCATGCAGCTGCCGTTGAGCTCCTTGCTCTTGGCATGAGAGGCAGCATTGCCCAGGGACTGCAGCGAGCACGCTGAGCGCTGGTAGTCACCCTCCAGGTGCGTGGCGGCCTGAAAGGGGGGCTGGGGAGGGCCGTCGTAGCCGAAGCCATTGCTGCCGGGATACGAGGAGTAGCCTCCGAAGAGCGCAGCCGCGGCGTTGTCGTAGTAGGTGGCTTTCTGCATCGCTGGGCGAAGCCCGGGCAGTGGGTGGCAACTTGCAAGGGCCTGATACCCTCACGACCGGACATTGGCACCCCTGGGGGTCACGTGACACGCGGAACCCCCCTCCCTTTTCTGCCCCCCTCGCCCGGGTCTGTTCCAAGCGGCTGACCTGCGGGGCGAGAGAAGAGACACAAGAGGGAGAAGAGGACTGGGGCTCGAATCCATCTTAGGAACTGAAAAGGGAACTGACATCAATAGAGTTTTTTCCTCCTCCCTTCCCCAATATCTCCAGAGCAGATGTTTATCTGAAATGGACTTTTCTTTTTGCAATGCTTTAATTTTAAGGGTGGAAAAAAGCCCACCAGTTTTCATTTCCACTTAAAAAATAAGAACTATATTCCGTTGGGGACTGCCTAGGAGTAGAATCCTATTGCTACAAGGGCCAAGATTTCTCTCTCCTGCCTGTGCACTAGCCTCTGACCTCTCCTACTCCCTCCTTAACTCCCCCTCCCCAAACTCTGGGATAGGGTGGCTCGAGGGAGAAGGCACTAGCAGACTCCAAAATAAAAGCATCATGAACTCCTTCCAGCTAAGAGGCCTCTTGGCCTTCTGCCTTTTGCCTCCCTCCATATCCTTTCACCTAAGCAAAGTCTAGCCTGGAGGATCCCAGCAATCTGGGACAGAGACAAGAGGTTCAAGAAGCAAGTTCATCCGGGAATCTTCTCCTGGGAGGTTCCCTCTCCTGATCACTCCTCTCAGGAAGCCAACAACAGTCTGACCTAGAAACTTCCTGAAATTTTTTAGTGCCCAGAGCCACAGTGGAATGAAGTTTCATCCATCCCTGGTCCATCTGCAGGTACCACCACCTCCAGTGGGTGTCTTTGCTGAACCAGGTCTGGGATCCAGCAGCCAACGGCCCCTGTGGAGCCTCCAAATGGAGCAGGATTGTTTCGATTTCTCAGGCAAGACCGGTTGGTGTTGTGACCATTTGGCTTGGGTCTCTCTCCATCACCCGCCCCTCTTTTTTATCATCAATTTTCCCCACCCTCTCCTTGACGGTCTGTTTTCTTTGATTTCCCCAAAAGAATTTTTTTAAAAAGGAAATTGTTTATAGCTGCTGGACTTCTCTACTGAGACATGAACAGTGTATATTAAGAGAGAAAATTATTCAGGAGGAAAAAAACCCACAAAGCAAATTGAACAATATTATTCTCTGGGTTGGAAATGGAAGGAACCCTTGTTTACAGAGGTTCCCTGAGGCAAAAAATAAAAATACAATCACTATTTTAATACAACTTTTTAAAAAGTGTGCCAGCAAAATAAAGATTCAAGCTGTCGTGGGATTTTGTGTATTTGTTCTGAAACTTCTGACTGCAATTTTTTTCCTTCTGTCTTCCCCCTCACCACCACTTTTCATAAAATCTCCAGGCTGATCCTCTCTTCTATTATGTGTGTTTGGAAAACTTAAATCTCATTCAGCCCAGGTGGTCAACTCCAAGGAAAACTAAAATTAGTAAAATAAAAGGAATGAAGGTGAAGGAAGTCCCTCCCACACATAACTCCCTTCTTAATGGCATAGATTTATAGTCAAAAGGGAGCTGGGATAGTCCTGAGTTCCGATTGGTTTCTGGGAGGAATTTGTTTCTGGAAATACACATGGGTCCGCAAAGCAGTAGGTCCTTCCAGGAAGAACTGAAGTTCAATTGACCAGGCTGACCCAATCCCTTTATTATTATTACCATTAGCCTCTGATGATTTAACCAAAATTAGCTTTTGAGAAGCCCTGGCTGAAGGAGGAATTAATTAACAGACATCAGTTGAGTTTGTTATTAATAGATTGAGAAGAGAATGAAATAAAAACGTTGGAGGGGGTTAGCTGTCTGGGCCCTGGCTTTATTTAGTCTAAATGATTGTTACAGCGATAATGATGATGATAATAATAATAAAAAAACAATAATTTGACTAGACGCCTGGGGCCGAAATTTCTGTTGCTCCCTCTGCAATAAACCCCAAACCATCGCAGGACAGAGACCAGGCAAGTGTGGGAAGCAGAGGAGCCAGAGACGTGATAGGAAAAGAATGGAGTCTCCGCCGGTGGTGAGACAGAGGCGGCCGGGAAGGTTCGTGCACCGCGGTAGCCCCTGGCTGCCGCCGCCGGGGTGTCTCGGGCCGCTGCTGCGCGGTGGCTGGCCAGGAACTACCAACCGTTTATACTGGCCCAAGGAGGCGACGAGAAAGCGATCGGGGCACGGAAATGGTTAGCGGCGGCAGGTTCCAAGCACACCGGGACGGCGGCCAGCCCCGCGGCAGCAAGTTTGGGCGCTGGAGGTAACCGAATTAAAAGGCGCCTTGGCAACTCTGCAACGGGACTTTGCCCAGCCGGGCTCCGAGCTGGAGCGCGCCGAGGCCTGGCTGACGGGACCGTGAGAAGAGGAAAGGTGCCATGGGGGATCTGAGATCTGGGATCCAGAGAAGAGGGGGTGGGGAGCAGCTCTACCCAGCCAAACATGTCTATTTCCCTTGCCTCCATGTTGGAAAAATTCAGGCTCCATATGGCTCCTCTGAGGGTGGGAGGGAGACGGTGGCTCCCGGCTTTCCCTCAGGGTCTCGCTGGAGAAGAGAGGTGAACCCCCCAAGAACCTCATCTTGCCGGCTCACCTCTGGGAGAGCCAGGGAGGGTAACAATAGCTCGTGAAGCCCCAGGAGAGAGGATAGGCCACCTTCCAGGACTTAAAAAATTATTGGAAGGAAGAAAAATAAAAGAGCAAGAAATGAAGAGAAAGATTAGCCTCTTCTTAGCAACCGGGGGGAAAAATTCAGCCCTGGATTCTGGCTGCTGGAAGAAAAAGAAGAGGAGAAAAGGAGAGAAGCAGGAAGAGAGAGGGAGAGAGAGAGGGAGGGAGGGAGAGGGAGAGAGAGAGAGAGAGAGAGAGAGAGAGAGTCAGTCGCTGCGTGGAAGGAAGCTTAAAGCTTGTGAACTCTTCTTGAACCGAGATTGGAGTCATATGGGCCATAAATCATTGAGACATACTCTCCGCCATTCACAAACTGATAGCCTATTTCAGTCCAGCTTACCTTAGCCACCGACGAGGGGAGAACAGGCAGACATAATATATATTCACATCGAGCCCCAGCGCGAGCGGCAGGCGAGAAATCTCCCCTCCTTGAAGGCAAAGGAAAAAAAGACCACTGTTTAAAGCTGCGTCGCCCCCCCCTCCCCAAAGCCACCCCGGCTGGGGAGCCCGAGGGGCAGACCGGCCAGAGGAGCCGCGCGGCGTCCGCTTCAATTCACTCGGCTTAGGAGCGGGGGTGCGCAGGAGGGAGGGGGGCTGGGGAGCGGGAAAAAAATAGAAGACCGAAAGGTGCTAGGGCCGCTGGCTCGCCGAGAATCCAGCTCCGGGCTCCAGCACGGCCAAGCCGCTACAGTGTGGTTGCCCTATAAGACTGGTACGCCCTACTCTCCGTAACAATGGCCTCTGCTTTTGCACAGGGAAAAAAACCACACAGACACACACACACTCACTCACTCACACACAAGCTCACACACACCCCCACCTCTCCCCCTTTAGCTAGCTTAGATGCCTGATAAAGAGGGAAGGTGATGGTGGTGATGGGGGGGGTGTATTTTAAATACCCCCAGAAAGTGGGAAGAAAAGAAGGTAGAGGAAATCTTATTTTTTTTAAAGCAGGTCAATTTTAAATTTGAGATGTGGGAGGAGGGGGCGAGGAAGAGGAGAGCAAATGCCAAGAAAAACGGTGGAGTGTTCTCAGCTCCCCCCCTCAAACCCTACTAGTGACCCATTATGCTAATTTGAGAAGGCCTAGTCAAATACTGGTGTGGGGGTGCAGGGTGCCTGTCCGTATTAATTCATAGACGGAACACCAACACCAGGACTTTTTTTTTTTTAAGTAGTTTTACTCCTTCGGGACCGATGGTCTCCCGCTCTCAGTCTGTCTCCTTCCTTCTGAATCTTCCAATCTCTGCTCCTTCTCTCCTCCACATCCTCTCTTCTCCCCCACCCCACCCCCCAATCTCCAGGCCCAGTCTCTAATGCGGGAGGGAGCAAAGCCAGACCTTTTTTTTTTTTAATGCCCCCTTTTTTTCTTTGAGAACAGACAACTAGAGGTGAGTGATGATTTAAAAAACCAAGAACATCTTGCAGGGGGAGTGGGGTTGGGGGATGTGACAAAAGGAGGACCCTTGCCGTTCAGGTTGAGCTCCAGAAGAGGCGGCAGTACTGGGGCTGTAAGAACTTCACAGAGAAGTTTCTGTTAAGATTCTCACCTCGGAGTAGAAGGGGCTAAGAAGAGGTGATGAAGACATTTGTACTTCTGAGAAGATGAGGCGAACTAGCCGAATGGCTTCATTTTAAATGCACTGGCAGAAGAGATGGAGGATGGCTCTTATTATTATTAGTCAGAACAAACCTGTTTCTCTCTGCTCTTCGAGATTTATGATTCTTGGCACAAGTGAGGAAGGCTACAAAAACTAAAGTTTTCTTAGGGTGTGTTTGAGCAGGGTAGGAAAAGGCAAGGAGGAGGTCTGTAGGAGGAAGACAGGAGCCAAGAATGTAGGTGTCTGCAGATTTGGGGAGGGGGGTGGGGAAGAGCCATTCACGAAGGAGGGAGAGGACAAAAAGACACCGGGACATTTCCTGGAGGAGTGCTGGCAACACAGCCTAATTGCTGACTAGGGGCTTAGGGAATAAAATAGAAGGCAGTCAGTCTCTCTCTTCCATAAGGGCAGCTTGGAAACTTGGTTCTCTTAACTTCTTGTAGACAGAGCCAACCACCACCCTGTGATTTCCTGGTTACAATGCTTGGTTTTGCCTTTCCCCATCTGGATGTACCAGGACAGGCAATGGGACTGGGGAAAACAAAGGTGAGAGATGATTTCCAGCTATCTTCCCTCCTGGAGGGTGCTGAGTCTGGAATGACCCTAAATTCTGTCTCCCACTTTTTCCAGACCCACCGAGTTAGGCCAGGTGGGCTGGAGAAGCTGGTTTCCTGGGGTCCTGCTGAACAGGAGGAACCTGTGGCCTCCTTACTCTTCAGCATCAGGAATC